AAAAAAAAAAAAAAAAAAAAAAAAAAAAAAAAAAAGGTGGGGGTAGGGCATCATAAAATATAAAAATATAAAATATAAAAACATGGGAATAGGTAGGAAAATCATGATATCTCCATTTGATGCTATAGATGAAATCTGCAAGGTCTTTATGATCGTGTGACAAATACCTTTCATGTTAAGCAAAAAAAATCTGCTACAAAAGGAAGTGATCTGTAAAATGGCAAAACGGTGAGTGAATAAGTGGGGGTGATCACAGTAATCATTACCTACAGAAATGGATTAAATTAGGCATGATTTGCTTTGAAGACTTTTTAAAAATTTAAATGTATGAAAAAATCAGATTTATATGAGAAAGATGGAAAATTGTCTGAGACCTGTAAAGTGAAAAAAGTTGTAGAATAGTAGGTTTGGCATAATCTCATCATCTGTAATGATCTAGAAGAAATTCTAGAAGGATCTATACTCAATTGATAACAGAGGTTATAAGTGGGGAGTGGAATGAGGAAAGGGAAGGGGAGAGTTAATCTTTCTACTTAAAAAATAGTAATTACTTTTGGTATAATAACTGGAAAAGTTTTAAATGAATAAAAGTTATATAAGTACAGAAAAGAATCCCTCATGTGAGCACACAATGAAATATACAAATGATGTATTAAAGAATCATACACTTGAAAACTATTTAATTTTATTAACCAGTGTCACCCTGATAAATTTAATTTAAAAAAAGAATCCATAAGATATAAAAAAATTTAAATTCTACATCTAAAAAAATTGAAGGAAATAAAATTATTTGCTAGAAATGACTGATGAAATCGGGAGATATTTTTCTCTTGTTTTCTCTTCCTCCAACTAGCCCTTTCCTCCAAAATTTGTTATTATCACCCACCTATAATAAGAAGAGGAAAATGTCACATAAACTTTAAAAAAAGAGATTATGAAACTCGCTAATCCTATCACGAGAAGTATGAGGTCTCTTCTGGGGGTTTCTATTAGCAGGATACAAATTTCTAACTCTGGTGGCATTTTGAGTTTCTTCCAGCAGGTAGGGTCAGAACCTTGACCACGGGGTGGTTGCTTTCCTCCAAAATGGAAGAATTGACCTGTTAACTTAATCCCTGCCAAAGTGGGGAAGCCCCCTCTCCCCAAAGAGGGAAGCAGATGGCGGGCCCTTATTTTCCGCCAGCCAGGCCAGACACTCGAATGTTGCTGGCACCAGGCAAGCCCCTCTCACATGTGTGCTGAGTGCCCTTTGCATCAAACAATCCGGTGGCGGAGGGGAAAGGCTTGGGCACTGAGTCCGCCTTGGTCCGAATCCCTGTTCAAATCCCTGGCAGTGCCAAACAAGTGCCTGAGCCTTGCATTATCCAGCTGAATGAAATTTAAATAATTATAAACCAGAGAGAAAGAGAATGAAAGAATTCATAACTCAACCAGGCAGTAGAGCAATTAGTTGAAAGAAGTTAGCCTCAGACCCATGGAGGTTCCAGACTCAGAGCAAATGAAGAAATTACTAAAAGGTATAACTTGAACCTAGATAAACCATCACCCCTCTAAATGACACGGATGCTAAAATTAAAAATATATCATTTACAATCACTCCCCAAAATGAAATACTTAGGTGTAAATCTCACAAAAGATGTGTAAGACCTATATACTGAAAGCTACAAAAGACTGTGAACGATCTAAATAAATAGAGAGACATACTGTGTTTGTTCATAGATTGGAAAACTCAATATAAGATGTAAATCTTCCCCAAATTGATAGCTAGGCTTGATGCAGTTACTATCAGAATCCCAGCAAGATTTTCTGGTGATGTATGCGAGATTATTCTAAAATTACAAGAAAAGGCAAAAGAACCAGCTTAAACACTTTTGAAAAAGAATAAGGTGGGAACAACTAGTCTACCCAATTTCAAGAGCTAGCTACAGTAATAAAGATTGTGCTTGGATAGACACACAGATCAATGGAACAGAACAGAGAACCCAGAAATAGCCCCACACAAATATGGCCAACTGAGTTTTTGACAAAGTTACTAAAGCACTTCAGTGGAGGAATTGAATGGAGGAAATGGTCTTTTCAAAAAATGGTGCTGGAGCAAGGGATGTATCTTAAAATAAATGGTGTTTTCAATTCAATAAGATACAGCGTTTCTTGTGCACCTAACCTGTGCCCGATGCTATTCTAAGCACTAGGGGCATAGCCGTGAACAAAGGCAGGAACTGCTTTCATGGTACTGACAGTCTATGGAGAGAGCCTGTGCTCTGGAGGAGCAATGTGGGCACTTGGGGTCAAAGACAGGGTAGGAGCCAGCTCCAGAAAAGGAATGAGAGGGCACTGACCTTCACCTGGCTGGGTCCCTTTCCTCTTCTTAAAGACGGCACAGTGGAAGGCTGCGGGCATTCAATGCACACGGACCTGTGTTCCACCTCCCATCTCTGCCCCTTAATGCTCATCTGTCAATGACAAACAGCTGTCCTCGCTTCACTGTGGGATTTACACAAGTGGGTGCAATAAAATGGTGCAGGGTGGGGCTAGGTGCATGTTAGAGTCCTAATGTTGTCCTGTGTGCCTGTGAATCCTTCCAGAGCCTGGAAGTTTCTGCAAAGGAGAGGGGTGCTGGGGGCGGCCCCCCCCACACCTGCTACAGGCACAGGCACTTAGCCGAACACCTTAGTAGGAAGGGAGATTTGCTAGTTTCAGCCAGTCTGAATGATCTCAACACACTCCCAACTTTCTACTCGAAGTTATGGAGAGGCTGGGGGGTGGTCTTTGTGCTGGAAAGGATGATGATTTATCTGGGTTCAAGTTATACCTCTGGAAAAATGAAACAGAAGAATTGGGTAAGAACCATCAGGAGTTCATTTTTCCATAAAGCCCACATACTGTATAATTCACTTATTACATTTAGTGCATATTAGCTGTCTCTTTTAGAAATAAAGCTCCATGGAGGCAGGATTTTTGTTTGTTTTGTTCATTTGGTATTCTTGGTGCCTAGAACAGTGCCCAGCAAACAGTAGGCACTTAATAGATATTTGTCAAACTAACAAAACTGCTTTGGCTTATTCTCTTTATGGCTTATTCACAGCAAATTTAACCTCCAAATTGCTGAAGGAAAAAACAGAAAAAATAAAAGTACCCTCAGAAACCGAAAATTTGGAGTAGAGCCCAGCCTTCTTGCTGACTTGCTGTGTGACAGTGGGCATGTCACAGCCTCTCTCTGTGCCTCAGTTTCCCATCCACAGAATGACTGGTTTTGGTGTTCTCTGAGGCTCTCCCAGCTCTGACAATTGACAGCTCCCTCCTCCGGCCACCATTAGAAGCTCAAACTAGTCCTAATCATATGACCAGCCAGAGAAATTGGGTTTATTAAGACCTACTGCGTGCACATAGGTGTGTGGACGCATCAGAGTACTAGGGCTGGCTGCATCATCTGCTGGCACAGAAAATGGGCTTTGAGCCTAGAGTAGCCGGTTTGGATCCTGGATCCCCACTTAATGAATTGTGGGGCCTTGGGCATATTATTTAGCTTCTTTGAGCCTCAGTGGCCTCATCTGTAATGTGGGCATCAGATTGGGACCCACCTCATGGGGATGCTGGCATGAAGTAGGACTGGAATTCAGGTCTGCCTAATCCCACAGCCTGACTCTTAATTAATGAGGCGAATTCTTTGTTTCAAAGCCAGAGCAGATAAAAGCACACACATGCCAAATCTCCAACCCCTGAACGTGCTCTGCTCATTCCAGACCCCCACGCATGCCTCCTCTGGGAGTTCCCTGCTGGGACCATCCATCCACCCCCCTCACCCATCACCCCACCAGCAGGGAGAGCGCCTGGCACCAATGGCCCAGCTGCAAACACAGCTCCGTGGTCGACTGAGTGTCCCATTGGCAGGTGTGGCCACCTGCAATGTCTAGTCTGACACCCAGAGGCCCTGGCAAGAGGCAGGCATCCTGGAATGTGCAGGGAACACTGGCTTCCAGCTCTGTGGCACTAGCTGTGGCACCTTCAGTAAGTCACCTTTCTTCTCTAAGCCACTATTTTCCCTTTTATAAAATGGGTAGTAATAATAAGCCCCTATATACTTTGAAGTAGGTGTGATAAAGTCGGAAAAGCTCTTGTCGTGTGGACGGGCGGCTAACGCGTATGCTCTCGGGCTGAATGCCTCTGGTTCAAATCCTGGCTCTACCACTTGCTAGCTGTGTGCTCTCTCCACCTCAGTTTCTGTAAAATGGGAATAAGAGTGGTACGTTAGAGAGCTGCTGTGAGGATGAAACGAGAGAATAATATTAGCGCCTACTTCACAGACTTGTCTTAATGAGTTATTCCACATGAAGTACAGAGAAAGGTGCCCAGCACACAACCCCAAGAAGGGTGAGCTGTCTGTCGTGTGGGTGACCCAGCCTGGGGAGACTCGTCCCAAGCCAGGTTAGTCTTTGCACGTGTAGCCCAGGCTGTGACCTCTTGCCTAAAATCTCTGCGTTTCTCACCTTCTCCTCCCTGTTTGGCACAGTTACTCAAAGTTGGCTGCACCTAGGTGTTCAAGGCGCCAGGCAGGGACGAGGCTATGGGCATGAGGACCCAGACCTGTACCCCCATCCCCAGGGTTCCTGAGCCCTCTGCCCTTCCTGGGAAACTGACAGAGCCAGCCTGCAGCTGATTCTGGCATCGACATTCATCAGGTGGAAGGGCAGCTCCAGCGCAGGCTGAGAGTACCCACCTGAGACCTGAGTGGGGATGGGCTAAGCCACTGAGCTGCAAACCGCAGGTGCTGACTCATGGCCTCTGCTGGGCGGTATAAAGGAACTAGCTCAGGGTCTTCCTGCAGCTGCAGGGACGAGCTGGCCGGACTATGGCCCACGGGACAGTGATCCATGTGGCCCCAGAGCAGCCCACCTATGCTGTGTGTGTGCTGGGCACCAAGACTCAGCTGGATGTCTATGGGTGAGCAGGGGATGTCCTGGGGGTGGAGGGCAGGTTCGGTGATGCTGGATGAACAGGTTCTGCTGACACAGGAAGTGTGTGGTTGGCTCAGCCTTCAGGCGCCAGCCTCTGTAGCTGCTGTCGGGAAGAAGCTGGAGAGGTAAGACCTGAGTGGTCCCTGGATGTGCCCAGACTCAGGGCAGTGGGTTCTTTGCCGGGTACAAGTGGGGATTTCCTAGGGCCTCACCACAAATAAATTATTACAGAGTAAACAGGACCATCTGAGGCAATGAAAGCTCAGAGAGGGTCTGTGACTTGCCTAAGATCTCACAACAAGTGTACCTCGGAAGCAAGGCTAGACCCCAGACTTCATGACCCATACCTGGTTCATGCTGCGGTTTGTTACCCCACAACTCCCAGCCAAGCCTCCCTCTGTGGGAGCGTAATAGTGTGGGCGTGATGAAGCGGGCTCTGACGTGGGAGAGGCTGAGGCGGGAAGCCTGGCACTGTCAGGCTGGGCGGCCTTGGGCAACTGAGCTTCAGTTTCCTCATCCGTGAAATGGGAATAAGACTCACTTTACAGGATGGTTAAAGGGATTAAATGTGGAAAACCATGAACATGTTTGTGAAGTACTTAGCACAGGGCTGGGCATATCCCTGGTAGCTATTCGTTCATTCATCTGTTCACCGAACAAATACTAAATGAATACCTACTATGTGCCAGGCCCTGTGTTAAATGAGATGACCTAGGAACACTCTGGATGGGTGCACGTGGTTGCTGTCATTGTTGTCGTTAGTAATAGTACTGGCCACCCCTGGCTTCCTCCATCTCAGGCCGGGCATCTGTGATCCTAGAATGGCACCCACAGGA